ACTATATATAATAAATAATACTATATATATAATATATATATAGTATATAGTATATATATACTATATATATATATATATATATATATATATATATAGATATATATATATATACAGATATATTCAGACGCTCTCGCATTCCAAGCACATTAAACCGCACACACTAAAACCTTAGAACCTTACACAAGTATCGCAAAAACCTTACCACGACGTCATCCGAAGAAGAACACTCACCCCACATATCACACACTCATATTGGAAGATAAGGGCTTTAAGGTAATAAGGTGGTAACCCGAACGTATTCAAAAAGCAAAAGCCCACGAAAACGTACACAGATACCTTATACCCACATACAAGCAAATGACAACATTCCACATACACACAATACAAGATATATATATATATATATATATATATATACATATATATATATAAAATGTATATACAAACCTACACACATACACACATACATACAAACCTGCACACACTACTACCTACACGCACACACACTCTCCCACTCACACACAACCATGTCTCCGCATCGGCTGCACACACCTCTGCACTAGACGACCCCTCTCTATCACTAACATCTCCTGCCAGTGTGTGTTCATGCGTACTCTCTTGATCCTTGAGCTGTGCGTCTTCCTGAGGCCCTGCTGTGTGTAGTTGTTGAGTGCGCTCTGATGTGTGTGCCTGTTTGTGTGGGGTTGTATCGGATTGTCCGATTGTCCGATTGTCTGTGTGGAGTGTCTCTGTCTCAGTCTGAGTCTCTGTCTGTGCCTGTGTACCGAACTGCACAGCACCCGCGTCGGTTAACCTCTCCGTGTCCTGGGCGTCTGTCGTAGTGTCGGGTTCCTGCGCTTGCCCCAGTCTCTGTGGCGTGCTGTCTGATTCCGATTCCTGGTTAATTGTTTCTGCCTGGCCATCGTCCTTGGACGTGTGTCTGTGCACATCCTGTTTCTGGTGTGATCTGCGTTCGTAATCCATTGCTGAGGCTGCACTGTCGTCTTCGTCTCTAACGCGGCGCTCGTTGGCGTGTGCCGCTGCATGTGATAATACATGTATGTGTGCGTGAGAGTGTGTTGTTGGGAAAGTACATGTGTGCGTGAGAGTGTATGTTGACTAGATAGTGCATGTGTGTGTGTGGTTGGGTTTGATTGTATGTGCGAGTGTGTTTGTGTGTGTACATGTGTGTGTATGGTTGGTGTATGTGTGTGTGTGTCCAAATACCAAATATGCTCACACATGCACACACACACACACACACACACACACACACAACACCAACACACACACAACACACAACACACACAACACACGACACAACACACACACACACACACAACACACACACACACACACACACGCACACATGGGGATCTCATTGCACTTAAGAGTGTTGTAAGTACTCGCACACGACCGCTCACGTGCTGTACGGTAAAAACTACAACAACACACTGTGAGTGTATACCTACATGGTCAACTCAGTACTTACCTACACACAAAATAGAACGTACCAAAACAACCAGAGCAACATACTGTGAGTGTATACCTATATAGCCAACTCAGTACTTACCTACACACCATATAGAACGTACCATAACAACCAGAGCAACACACTGTTAGTATATACCTACATGACTAACTCAGTACTTACCTACACAGTCGTCGGTCACCCGGAAGAGTACTCCCACACCCAGCACCAGTTGAGTTGGCGGGAGGAAATTCTAAATATAGATCACATAATGTGAGCTATCAGTTACTATAGAAAGAATGATGGTTAAACCTTCAATTATGCTGGGTGATGTAAACCCTAAACTATAACACCCCGAAACCCTAAAGCTTACGTATGAGTGAAAGACTGTACTTTATATTTCGGAATGTGTAGAAATACTACTACTCCTAACCAAACACACACACAGACTCACATGATAAAAACGCACCCACCCACGCACATACACCCACGCACACACACACATACACACGCACACACGCATACATACACACCACTACAACCACCCATTCATCTGCCACAACATACATACGCATGTGTGTTAAACGTGTAGACACACCTTCTTCCCTCGCACCATGAAACTGCCTGTGGGCAGATACTCGCCCGTCGGAGCTGTCTTGGACACTTGCGAGTGATGAACCCAATACGCACTAATAACAATCTTAGCCTCCCACGCAGCACTACTGCAGATGGCCATGGCTAAGAGGAAAGTGTGTGCATGTGTTGAGATAGGTGTATACGCACTAATATCAATCTTAGCCTCCCACGCAGCACTACTGCAGATGGCCATGGCTACGGGGAGAGTGTGTGCATGCGTTGAGAGAGTGTGTGCATGCGTTGAGAGAGTGTGTGCACGTGTTGAGAGAGGTGTAATCGCACTAATAACTGTACTATACACACACACGCACATGTGTACACACGTATCTAAGCACATACACTGCAAGTACTATACACACACACGCACAGGTGTACACACGTGGCAAGAACTACTAGCGATGAATACTGTCCTATCTATCAACTTACCACCAGCTTCTGTGAGTGACTTGGGTGGGATTGGGTTTGTGGGCGAATGGTTCTTTACAATGCACGTAGCAGCTCCATGCATATCGGCGTGTACGTAGATATCGCCTATGTGGGAACATAAAATAAGGAAGAAATTAGTATAGATACATACGCGAGATAAGCCATGAGGTGTATTTATGTGGAAGAAAAAGACGGAATAGTACAGGTACACGCACGAAGCATATATA